GCTCTCAGCGGAGCCTGCTGGGGATTCTCTCTCTTTGCCCCTTCCCTGCTCGCTCTCTCTCTCAAAAGAAATAAACATTAAAAAAAAAAAGTTCATTTCTATTATTTTAAAACTCTAATTTTTCTTATAGCCACTAAATGATGTATGAAAAAAAATCAAAGGGTTCTTTTGTTTTGCAGAGCACTTTGACACAAATCATTAACTATAAAACTGCTGACTCCTCGAATTTTTCTTTTTTTTTTTTTTTCCAACGTTTATTTATTTTTGGGACAGAGAGAGACAGAGCATGAACGGGCGAGGGGCAGAGAGAGAGGGAGACACAGAATCGGAAACAGGCTCCAGGCTCTGAGCCATCAGCCCAGGGCCCGACGCGGGGCTCGAACTCACGGACCGCGAGATCGTGACCTGGCTGAAGTCGGACGCTTAACCGACTGCGCCACCCAGGCGCCCCTCGAATTTTTCTTTATAATCAGTGCTATGTGTTTTTTTTTTTAGTGTTTGTTTATTTTTGAGAGGTAGAAAGAGCACAAGAAGGAGAGGGGCAGAGAGAGAGAGAGGGAGGCGCAGAATCCGAAGGAGGCTCCAGGCTCTGAGCCGCCAGCACAGAGCCCGACATGGGGCCTGAACTCATGACCTGAGCTGAAGATCATGACCTGAGCTGAAGTCAGATGCTTAACCCACTGAGCCACCCAGGCGCCCCTGTCCTTTCATTTTTTACATATGTGCAAGAGTTTAATTTTTTTACAACAATGTGACATTTTATTTATTTTTCTAAGTTTATGTATTCATTTTGGGAGAGAGAGTGCGAGCAGGGGAGGGGCAGTGAGAGAGGAAAAGAGAAAATCCTAGGCAGGCTCCACACTGTCAGCACAGAGCCTGACATAGTGCCTGAACCCACGAACCATGAGATTATGACCTGAGCCAAGATCAAGAGTCGGGCGCTCAACTTCCTGAGCCACCCGGGTGCCCCAAGAGTTTCATTTTTTAAGATCAGAATTTCCAATTTCATACTTCCTTTCTATCAAAAAATAAAAATCTGCTTTTTCTAAAACACTGCAAAAAACAAACGCCCGAATGAAAACTTATTTTCTTTTTTATATACAGTTTAGTTCTTAGACTGAGCATGAAAAGCAAGCAACACCCTGACGATGGCATGGAAGAATGGGCTAGAAAATAGGAACAGGGGGTTAAGAAAGAAAAGAAGTGCTGGGAAACCTGAGGGATTTATTTACAGTGGCACGGAGGAAGCAGAAGTGGCAGAAAAGGCCCGATTGGGAGGAGAGAAGGCTTGTGGGGGCCTGGCGACTGGAAGCTGCTTGCCCACCGGCCAGCAGTGCCGGGACCACTTCCCCTGAATTTCGCAAAGCTTTACTCCTCAAGGTCACCCCAAATGCTAAGTCGTACAAGAATTACCTGTCTTTTTAAACAGCTAAGTGTTCAATCAGTGGCTTCTATTATTATTACCACACGAAAACCAACCACTAACATAATTTGCATCACACATGATTATATCATTACATCCATCATTAATTCAAGTCTCCTTAATGAAGATAACTGGCCACAACGATTAAGTTGCCATTTTCTCTATTAGCTGCTGTAAATAAAAGCAAAATTATGTATCCACAGATACTAAGTTTGATAAAGACCATTCTTCCCTATTCACCTCACCTTCGCTGCCTACAGTTAAGGGAGTCCATTTGGCAAACAACTTAGAGTGTGATCAGAAAGAAGGAAATAGCATCACCTACTAAGTTCAGATAATTGTACACCGGATTTCATCAGTATCAATAAAACTACTGAAGCCGCTAAAATAAGAATTCTTTTGTCTTCGTAAAATTTTTCTGTACTTACCATTTTCTGCTGCCTGTTTAATTCCAGGTTCATCCTCCTGTGATTCTGGTGAAAGCCCAATAATATCGAACCTGGAAAACAAGGCAAAATCTTAAAAGAGCTATTTGATTCTAAAAATATGTATTTATGGTAAGTACATTTCACTAAACTCATGGTAGTCTGGATTAAAAGGGCACACCATGAACATGAAACTCAAATTAAAATGTCTACAGAGGCCAAAATAGAACTTAAATGTGTGAATATGACACTCTACATGTTCCTTTCACCAACTAGATACAGATTCTAATGTTAAAAAATCACACTGCCACATAATTTTAGAGTAAGAACATCTAAGAAAATACCTAATCCAGTCCTACACCCAAGCAGGAACTGCGATGCACACTCCCCTAAAAAGTCTGCAATGATTCCAGCCACTCCCCTCCCCTTCTACTGCACCATAGGTCAGTCCAATGGGACAGAGCTACTTTACGCCGTCACTCTCTCATGCACCATCTCATAGCTATTAAACAGAGGTATTACACTGATCTCTAGCCACATTCTTCAAAACGTTTTCATCGTACATTGTAGGTACCTCAAACCAGAGCCCCAAAGGAAGCTTTCCTCTTCTCTGTCAGGCCCTTTCCATTTCCCTACTGGATTATATCCTCTCATTGTGGTCTCTAGCTACGTTCGCTAGAAATTGTGGTTCTGGATGGGAGTTTTGCCAGAGAAGGAAGATGAAAGAACCAAAGGGCAAAATAGGCAGGAACCTGTGAAAACTGCCAAGAAATCTAGGGTAGACAGAAAGGAAGTGAAGGGGTGGGTAAGAAATGGGTGGCAACAAGTAGAGAGGACAAGAGGACAATAGACTGGAAGTAGCTTAGAGGAACGAAGAACTGACTCTACTTCCTGACTATAAAACATACAGGGAATGTGAAAATATCTTGAGAGTGCGGAAGAGGAAGTGGTCTCCTTAAAAACTTGTCAACTCTCCACAAAAGCAAGAGGTTGGAAGGGTGTAAGGTTGTGGCTTAATCAGAGTTATGCCACATGGGGTCACTCAAACCAACAAAGGTTTATCAGGCAGTAGGAGATATTTTCTACACTATTTCTATGTACCTATTCTCTCCCATTCCTCTACCTCTTGGCACAGCTCCTCAAGTTTACCCCTGAATCTAAAATACAAAACTTAAATAATTAAAGGTTAAACGTAAAGTTAATTATGTAACTTTGCAACTTAAAAATAGCTAATTAAAAATTGCTATATGCAAAAGCTCTTCTAATAAAAAACAAAAAAACTAAGTGTAAATAAAAAGGTCTTATTGAATAATTCTTACTTACCAGGAAGGCATAGCCATGTTCATATTCAATGTTACAGGCATAACTGGTCTACATAGGAAAGAAAAAAACCGCAAACTGAGAGTAATATAACAAGGCATAAAACCTGATACATTCCATCACTGAAGGATAGAGAATTACTTCAGGCTTACACAAAATTGTATGCTACAATTTCAACACTGAGCTGTGTCACCGCATCCACATTGCATCATTTTCTCTACACATCCTCCAAATGTGTTCTGAAGACAGAGCAGCAGGTGTTCAGGACCACGCTTGGCAAATAAAAACATTTTCCTTTCTCAACACTCTTATTTAATACTTTCAAGCCAGACATTTTCTTACAAAAATGTGTAACCAAGACAGTTGGAAATGCATAAAATATAAGACTCTGGCTAAGTCTAAGGAAACGAGCAATTTACCACACAGATATGGTACATCAATTCCCATATGCTCAGATTATATTTTTGCTTATTTTCTAAGTTTCAGCTATGTAGTTGCTTAAGAGACCTCTAAATAAATATGGGAAATAGACGTTTTGCCAAAGTGTCCACTACACTCAGTTCAAGTCTTTGATGAACAATCTGTTGGATAACCTGAATGTAGCTAGATAAAAAAGGAAAGAGAAATAAATACACTATAACTACATCTCATCACTATCCTCCTGATTCATAAAACAAGTCTACCTTAGTTAGAGGTTACAAATCTTATCACAATTTCTTTGAGAACATGAATTTCCCTAGGTTGGGAAATGGCCTTAAATCAAATTCAATCTTGGGGCCAATCACAACACATGAGAACATTCTAATTAATCAAGAATTGTCTCTGGGGCGCCTGGGTGGCTCAGTCGGTTAAGCGTCTAACTTCGGCTCAGGTCATGATCTCACGGTT